GATGCATTCACAATATAACCAATATAATCCAAATTAAGCACGTGCTGTATTTCCTATCAATCAATTGTTTATCTGAAAAATACGACTGACTGCAAAAATATTCTGTTGTGTTGTTATTTTGACATTAACTGTTTATGTGAACGGACTGAGGGATAGTCATACCAATTAAAGGTAAGAAAAATCGAAAAATTTAATTCTACCAACATTTTAAGCTTACCAACATTTTCAGAAATACCTACATCAATATCGGCTGTTTCCCAATCGTAGGAGAATTTACCTGCGCAGGAAAGTTTTTGCTTCAACGAATATATCCACTATTCACGTATTTCTTTTAGCATTGCAAAATGGTCAGAGCTAGGTAAATAAAGTTGGAGACTTTTCATCTCATCTTACATCAAATCGATCATCGTAGCCTTGAAAACTTTACATCGTGAAAACTCTACAATCGATCATCGGTAGACTTAAGCTTAAATTAACCAAGCGTACCAGTTTTTATCCAACGAAAAACGTGTTTTTATGGCTTAACCTTCAGTTTCATTCCGTTTTTGACCTCGATAAGGCTTTCATTTTCCAGAACTGTTGATGAATCAAGGTACTAAATTTAGTTCCAAACAAAATAGACAGCCTCTAGATAGCACCTAGGACAATAATTCGTCCTATTTAAGCGTAAGCGGCAGAATGAATCAATTCAAATTTGGTTTCGGCGAGCAATGTGCTCTTATTAAGACGTTAATGAGAACAAAACAGATGCGTCTGTAGGGTGGCGTCCCTCATGCTTGAAGGTCCGAATACTTGAAATTAATTTTAGCTTCCTTTCAGCCAATCAGAATCGAGTATTCAAAATCTCAAAGTAAGAAAATAAATCCAGGCCATTAGTGTTATTATTAACCGATTAGATAATAAGCAGATGAGTTTTCAAGACTGAAAAATTCTTATGATTTTGACCTCATTAATTTGATGTTTATCTGAATAGTATTGCGGTTGTAACCCGCAATTTGTAAACTTTTTGATTATTTTCTACTGATTTAATATATTTTCTGTTAATATTGACTTCGATTTTGTGAAAAAGCCATTTAGCCAATAGAAACGCTTAGCAATTTTGATTGGTTGAAATTTTTCAAGCATTTGGTCTTTCAAGCATGAGAATCCTCCCCCGTTTGTAGTTTTCATAGCGTGTGGCGAATAATATTTAAAAATAAAAAAATTTTAAAATTCTTTTTCAAGTTTCTTTTACCAAAAAACTCATCAACGACGTTAGAGGGCAGTCAGAACATTCAAAACCTTGTCTTGATACGAGCTATCTTAATTTATTTATCAGTAGAACAGATACGCTAATGAATAGTGTTTTTTCTAGGTAATATTTTCGTCAATTTTTGCTACTTTGTATTTTTCCGAGTTGTTTTTGTTGTGATAGATAGCTACAAAAATTCTATGCTGTCCGTTTTCGATGACTTTGACGCCAAAGGAGTGAGAGTTATCAGTTAATTTTTTTTCCAGCTTCCCACCTCCTATTGAAATTACAGTACAAAATTTTTTGAAAGTTGCTCATAAAGCAAATTACATGAGGAAGAAAGTATGTACAAATTCAATTTTTTGTTCACGTTTACTTTTTTATGGCACTTAGGAACATCGAACTTTTTTTCACTCCCCTCTCACTTTTGAAAATCAAATTGGAAAATTTATTTTAAAATTTCCATAATTCATTAAAACTTGGCGAGGTGAACAAACTAAATTTTGTGAAGTGAACAAATTTTGGCTGTTTTCCACTTTTCGCCTACTTTCAATTTTTTTGAATTTTTTTTTCGTTGTGATTATGCATTAAATTCAGGCAAGGTGATCTTACTAACAATGATGAACATAACACATTCAGTCATAACTACTCTTAATGCAACAATAAAAATTGAACTGAACACCAACAGTTTTTTCAAATAGGGCTTTTTAAATCGAGTTGCAGAAAAATCAACGAAGGAAACTGGAAACTCTTTCAGTTTTTTGCATATATGAAGCGTTTTTGTTGCAAGAAGATTCAAACATTTATCATCCAAGATTCTTCTTTAAAACGTCTATGATTTATCTATGAAAAATGCTAATACATTGATGTCTTTTTGATGACTCGTGACTGAAACATGTTTTGTTCTATCCATGATCCGTTACAACCTTTACCCATGAAAATTGTTTTCCATGAACAAACATTATTAACATTTTTAGACTTTTTTTGGGTCGGTCTTAAGCTGGGAAAAATATTTCACTTAAGAAAGTAATTCTTCGTAGAGCAGAGTTGTAACTTCGGGAAAACTTACCTACGGCAACCCATAAATTTCCGCGAGATCCAAATAAAGTTTTCACATCTATGCACTTCCGTGGTATGAACGACTAAACATAAGGAATATATATATTTAAGGCATGAACCTGTCACAATACATCCATTAACTGAACTAACTGAAAATACTTGAGCAACAATGGCTAGCACAATTTCAAAATTATTGATGGAACATTGGTAAAAAAAACTGGTGGAAAAATGTTGTACAAAGCAATTTTATGATGACAGATTAATGGCAGAAAAAAAGATGACGGTAGATTGATGAAAAAGGGGTTGTAAGTTGATGGCGCCTTGATGAAACATCGGTGTTTGGCTCTTTTCCAGTTCCTTCCCCCTTTCAAATTCATCATCCTTCAAATTCAAATTATTCCTCTGTCATAATGCAAAGAAATTTGGCGTGGTGAACAACTTTGGCGTTGTTCTTCATACTTTACAGCGTAACATCACGCATTTAGCCATAATAACACGTAAAACAAACATAAAACTCGGTATTTTGAAAGGGTGAAACTGAAAAAGAGCCCGGTGTTTGATTGCATTAAAAAAAAACAGCAGTAAATTTTTAAAGTTCATAGTTGTCACATGATAAGCCGTGAGAATGTTTGGCCAGAACAAAAAGATAAGAAATGCTGAAATGGCACTGCATTGTGCTGAACGGCAAAACTCGTTTTCTTTAGTGAGATATCCAAATTTTGAACGGATGTTTTGTTACTGAGTATTTTTTTTTCACAAGACAGATCAATGTTTTCTCATGTCCAATTACTCAGCGCTGATTTAAATTATCCGGAAAAAATGCATACAACTAAAAAATTAAAAAGCATTTCTCTCAAACTCGGTCGACTTTGGGTGAAAAATGATAAGACAAAACATGCTGAGAATATGGTGCGACAACTCTGTTGAAATGCTAAGCAAGTTTTGATTTAATCGTTTTTCACCTTAAAGTTTACCCAATTTGAGAAAAATACCTTTTGAATTTCAAGTTAAATGCGTTTTTTCAGGAAAATTTAAGTCAGCACTGCAGTATAAATGGTTGATAAAAAAGACAAAGCTCATATCAAGGCAAAGCCCTGAATGTTCTGACTGCATTTTATGGTTTATGGTGTAGTGTTCGTTTTTCGAAAATAGGAAAGAAAAAATGCAATTTTAATTTTTTTTTGAAAATCACCCCCCTCTCCGCGCTTTTTAAATAACAAAGTGATATACTTGGCTTACAGCGAACTAATAAATAGACCAAATAGCTCGCCTCAATTGCATTTGTAACGTTTTCTTGGACGGATTAAAACTCCGCTTACGCCCTAATAGCACAAACTCGGTATTTTGAAAGGGTGAAACTGAAAAAGAGCCCGGTGTTTGATTGCATTAAAAAAAAACAGCAGTAAATTTTTAAAGTTCATAGTTGTCACATGATAAGCCGTGAGAATGTTTGGCCAGAACAAAAAGATAAGAAATGCTGAAATGGCACTGCATTGTGCTGAACGGCAAAACTCGTTTTCTTTAGTGAGATATCCAAATTTTGAACGGATGTTTTGTTACTGAGTATTTTTTTTTCACAAGACAGATCAATGTTTTCTCATGTCCAATTACTCAGCGCTGATTTAAATTATCCGGAAAAAATGCATACAACTGAAAAATTAAAAAGCATTTCTCTCAAACTCGGTCGACTTTGGGTGAAAAATGATAAGACAAAACATGCTGAGAATATGGTGCGACAACTCTGTTGAAATGCTAAGCAAGTTTTGATTTAATCGTTTTTCACCTTAAAGTTTACCCAATTTGAGAAAAATACCTTTTGAATTTCAAGTTAAATGCGTTTTTTCAGGAAAATTTAAGTCAGCACTGCAGTATAAATGGTTGATAAAAAAGACAAAGCTCATATCAAGGCAAAGCCCTGAATGTTCTGACTGCATTTTATGGTTTATGGTGTAGTGTTCGTTTTTCGAAAATAGGAAAGAAAAAATGCAATTTTAATTTTTTTTTGAAAATCACCCCCCTCTCCGCGCTTTTTAAATAACAAAGTGATATACTTGGCTTACAGCGAACTAATAAATAGACCAAATAGCTCGCCTCAATTGCATTTGTAACGTTTTCTTGGACGGATTAAAACTCCGCTTACGCCCTAATAGCACAAAATTTTTCGCGATTAGTTGTCGTAAATTAGCAATCTTTAAACCCTCATAACTACACAAAAAATCACAGGTGAAATATAATTTTTTTACCTTTGAGCTCAAGACAACAATACTTTTCGACTGATATTAAAATGATATCAAAAATTGCTAATTAAAAAGTCGAAAACTGGCTGGAGAAAAAACTATCCCGAGTACAATTATTCCGTCATTTTCTTCAAAAATAGTCGGGATAAAAGTTTTTTTTTAGTAAAATTGAGATAATTGACTTAACACGTGATGTTGCAATGTAACCTAAGGTATGATGTACAAAGTGTCTAGATTAGTTTATTTTTTGACCATGTAAAACTGCAAAAACGCATTTAGTTACGACATAAGTTAAAAACATTAAAACAGAACTTCAAATGTGTAGGGGAGTTGGGAAATAGTCCTTTAAATCCTTTTGTATTTTCCAGGGACAAAATGGCGGCCAAGACGGACATGGAGCGCATTGGCGTGTTCAGTGAGTTAGGCTACCTTCTGGGGGACAAGTACAAGAACCCTTCGAAGGGTGGTTTCAATGAGAAGGCGGGCAAGGGCAAACAGATGCTACCCGGGGGGTCCAAGAGCAAATCGGCAGTGAGGGACGGCTACTTTTCAGACTTCGGCCGTGTGTTTGAGAAGGAGGCGTACACAGACTACGTGAAGATGAGGAGGATGGACCGGATCATGGCGAGCAAGAAGAACATCGGCAAGAACTGGACGCCCAGCAGTTACCCCTCCAAAATGCAAGTTTCAACCAGCTATCAATTCAAGCATTTAACTGTTTTTTAATCTTCTTACCAATAAATATTGAATTCATGGACACGTTAACCAAAAATCAACATAATACAGCTAACTTTTAGTTTACAACAACAACGAAAATTAAACATAAATAGCCGGGTGCTGTGCAAATAGCACAATCTTCCGACCATAATCATAAGCAATAGAACGAACCAGTTTTTTTTTACTTTCTTTCAATCTAGTGCCGTTTTTAGTGTGGTGTGATTCGAAAACTATACAATCTGGTAGAAAACTAGTAAAATAGTCATGATCGACATTTGTCTCCAAGAAACAAATAAAAAACAAACAAGAAAAACTTTTTAAAAAATTAAAGTTTCATTGTTCTAGCTTTTTGCACAAATTTTTTAATTTAAAAAAACTTTTTTACCAAACAAGAGCTAAATGAAACATCCAAAACTATTTTTCTTTACATCAAAATCCATTTTTCAACATTCTTTATGGTGTTTGAGTTTGCTCGGAAAATCAATTTGGTCGACCTCAGAAAAAGATCGACAAATATTCGAAATTTTTTTGAAAATCCGACCCCTTCGAAAAAAAACTATATCCACCCCTGCACTTAAGTGTAGAAGGTTAGTGAATTCGGCATAAATGACAGCAATTATCTGCTAATAAATAAATGAATGACAAATTTTTTTTTCAGTTTTCCAATGTTTTGCTGTATAATTTTTTGGTTTGCCGAGGAAGCGGTAAATGAAACTTCCAAAACTAGTATTTGTAGAGTAAAACTAAGCTTTTAATACTTTATAGAACAACATTTTAAAAGCCTAATCGCTTCTTTAGTCGCTCGAAATTAGACTAAAGCTCAAAAATTTCAAACCTGTTTTTCTCGACACTGAAAAAACTTGGAATATTTTAAAAGTCGTTCCAGACCCGCCTGAACAAGTTTCAATATAATGTATCACTCTGATATGTTCCAATGATTAATTGTGGCCCCTGAATTTGCGTGGAAAACAAAAAACTAAAACACCCGAATACAAATTTTCTCGCCTTTTGCACATTTTCAAAGGTCGGAACAGTTATCCCAAATTACTTTGTGATATCATGTTGAAAGTCAGTATCAATTCTCATTAAGAGCTACACCTGGTTTGGATGCATGAGCATTTTTGAATTTGTTGTTGTGTCGTCAGGGTTGGATCTGGCAGCTACTATGGCACCCTGGGTGGAAGAGTGGACCATCTATCCCCTGCTGTTCGAGCAGGCAAGGCACACACTGCACCCCCACGTAACTTCACCACACAGCCGGGCAAAAAGGGAACCGGATACGGGTTTGTTCAGATCATTATTTATTCATTCATAGGAGCCGCGGTGAGCAAGTGGTTAAGTCTCCGCCTCTGAATCGAAAGGTCGGATGTCAGATGCCCACCATTATTCGTGCTCGTTGCCTGAGTGTGAGGCAACATTACCCAGTCCAGAAAAACAGTCGAAAAATGCATGTAGATCTAAACCAGGGAACAACAGCAGTTCTCCGCGGTGAGCCCAACAGCTCCTAGTGGTCCTTTCCCTTTTAGATAAAATTCTCACTGTGAGAATATCTTCAACTTGAAATCTTGATTCCTAGAACCTTTTCAAAGTAGAAATATAGTGGAAGTGGTGTTTTCATGTATAATGACCACAATTTAACCTTAAATGAGACGTGGCTGTTTGTTTCCTTTTTCATATATGCCTATTTATTATTCAGGTATGTTGACGTCTCAATTGGGAAATTGCCCGGCTATCAGTCGGACAACTACGAGAGAGCAAAGGACCAGTTCAGGGTGAGTTGCAATACACCTGGTACATCTGAATTCTGGTTTTCTAAACTTTTTAACTTCATTTCATATCTGTAAGTTTCTGCAAGACAAGATGAATCTGCATAGGATTTATTTGGCACTATTAACCATCTGAGTGATTTTGTTACTTATCTTGAGACGTTATTTGAAAAATTTAAACTTATTAGAACCAATCCCAAATAGTTAGTTAGAAAATGAAAGTATCAAGAAAAAGTCTTCTACAGATCAGAACAAAATGGCAGATTTTCATGCCCTTTTTATGTTAAACTTAGAAAGAGAATGAAGCAGCCAAGTCCAGGATGAAGGGAGGCTCATTCAAACTAAACATGGCGCCCAGAGAGTTCTTCGACGAGAACCCCTTCAAGTCAGACAAGAACCTGCCCCCTGTCAGGAAGGCCACACCTACCAAGGAGCCAGCCAAACCCTTCCGACCCAGCAACCCTGGAAAACTGGTTAGTTAGAGCTGCTAACTGTTTCAATTCTAGCCACAAGTAAAAATAAATTACTCTAAAATCGTCGACTGTGCTCCAGATAGTTGCCAAGAAGATCGTACTTTTTTATAATTCTTTGACACTACTAATAAGATGCACTCAAAAATAGTCTAATTCCTTTCAAAGATGATAATGACAATATTACACTGGTTCTTGTGGAATTCAATTTTGGGTAAAATTCACAAACTTTGATTATACTGAAGAGTTGGTTCAATAGATTGGTGTTGTTTTTTAGCTGGGCGGAGCTAAGTTCGGCACCTTCGACCCCTACCCGGAACATCCAAAGGACGTGTATGTGTACAACCCCAATGTGTTCCGACAGCAGAAGCCGGGAGAGAAAGTGTTCGTACCCTCTGCCGGACCTAAGGGATACCCCATCAACTCCATCGTGAACCAAATGGTCACCAGGTGGGTGCATCTGCCATGTCCATTTATATCTGTCTGAATCACTGTGCCAAAAGAGTAAATCAACTAAGTTGCATTCTCTTGAAACAGCTCAGCACAGTTTCATCACATTTCTATATTCAATGAAGAGAAAGTTAAAGTGATTAGCCTGAAGAATTTCATTTTTCTCAATATAACAGTATTTCTAAAGTGCACCTGTTTAAATAAATTCTCAAGAATTTGTTTATTATTTTCAGATCAATCAACGATACAAATGTGCCCTACACACAACAGTGCTACTGACGACAAGGAAACTTTCAAGACACACTTTTTGCTATTTTATATCAGTTTGCAATTTACTCCTTCGCTAGAGTTTCAAAAGTTTAGTTTCAACACGTGAGACACAGTTTTGAGAAAACTGTAACATATAACTCAAGGAAAAAATTAATAGCTATCATCTAAATGAGCAGATCATATCTTAGCAATCGTTTTCATCGCCAGTTTTTTCATAACCAAGAAAAAATTTCAAATTGAAACCTACAAAACTATTTTAATTATTCTTTTCGTAATACTTTACATTTAAAAAGATAAATTAACAAAAAGAATCCAGAAAAACAGAACTTTACAAATTTTCAGAACTATAATGACTCAACTCATTAGTAAAACTTCCTTTTCTAAATAAAGCATCCTTTTTACATGCATTGGCAAGAAGTTTTACAGCTTGCGAAATTTTATGACGACATTTTCGGGTAACTACTCGATATGTTCTAAACAGTTGTTCAGAAAAAGGGTATATGTCCATCAAAAAAGCTTCCATAACTGCTATACCATGAGAACAGAAGCAAATAAAATTGAATTACTTCAGCGAATAACTAGAAAAAAATCTTCTTTTCAATCAAAGAACCCATAATACAGGAACGTATGTTTAATTTTTGAGCAAATCTCACAAATGGTTTCGGGACCTATCTGTGTTATCTTTCTCACAAAATTGATAGTCTCAGTTCGCAGTTATTGTAACAAGGTCTAAAGTGCTATCTCTGTACTGAACAGCATAGCATTTTCATCATGCGTCCGTTGGTGAGGCCATACAACACGAAGTGGGTCTTGTCATCGCCATTCATTATCTTTTTGAACAGTATGAAAAACAAAGCATACATACAATCAAAGTTTATTTCTGAGCGCTTTCGCACATTGTGTGCATCATCAGAGAAACTATCATCTGAAATGGTCGTCATCATTGCGAACCAGTTAACAAAAAACAAAAAACCAAAACAACTGCACTAGTATATGAGTAAATGCAAATCTCGCCGATATAAACCGGAACAAAGAAAAGTGTCCATCACAACTTGAGGGTGAGCTGCCGCTGCCTGTAATCTTCGCGTTGGTTCAGTGTCGGTTGTCTTCTTGCGATATACAGGGCCTCAAGCGTTAGTAGTCGTCCTGAATCTTCAGTCTGGTCCAGAATCTTGGAGCAAATTTCTGAAGCGTCTCCGATGCAGTTTTTGAGGTGACTTCCCACGTTTTTTGAACAGTTTTGCAGGCTTATCGAAATCAATACGAACATAAATGATGCTTGACAGAGGCGAATCGCAGCTGAAACACTGAAAGCCCGGGCTGTCGGAACAACGCTACCTAAAAACTGCCTGACTATGTTAGACAAGTAGTTCATATGATAAATCAATGTTTCGATTTGAAGGCTTGCTAATCGCAACCACACTTTCTACACCCAACAAAAAACTATATACTAAGAGTTCGATCAGGCAGCGAGTTTGAATGCTGCCTGCTAATGAAGTATTTTTGAGATAATGAAAAAATCACAAAGCTTACATACACCCAGAATGCCAAAATTATTTTTTAACTATAAATTTTATAAAGTTTTATTTTATTATGGAAAAATAATGGTCAATTAATTTGCCTTTTTAGTCGGAAATATTGGGTCTGAATCTGAGTTTTTCGGTCTTCCACTTAATTTCAAAAACACAAAACTCAGTAACGTGTTTTTCCTTAGTTCCGTTTTCCACAATAAGGCATTTTGCAGAAAAATGCCAGGAGAATAATTTGTTTCTCCGTAATTATTTTCAACAACTCCGGAAAAAAACATCAGCAACAGAAGCATATGGAGAAATGGAAAAATGGCGAACGAAAACAACATTGGAAAGGGCGGACTAACGAAGGCAAATTAATTGCCCACTTATTTTCTATAATAAAAAAAGCTTTTTCAACAGTTATAAATTTCTACAATCAATTTCTCGAAGGCAGGGCAGGCCTATATCTGAGTTATATATTACAAAAAACATTGTTAAGTTAACTGCAGCCACTAAAATGTTTAAGTTAGTTTAATTGGTAATTGATGTTAAGTAGCTTTCCGAGCATTAAATTTTGAATCTTCTGATTATTGCATTTGAGCTTAAAATAAAAGTCACTAAATTATCACACCAACTTAGCTACACAATTAATTATATATATCGAATCTTAAAGATATCATACAATTTTTTTGCTATGCAGCAGCCCTAAATAGCTCAAAAAGAAAACAACAAGTTTAGATTTGCATCACTTTTGACATTAAAAAAAAAACATTGTATATATGTATATGTATATATATATATATATGTGTATGAATATGTATATTAGTAAGTTTTTCGCTGTTTTCGTTTATATCAAAGGCTATATCAATTTCCCTGTGAAAACTGAATCAATCTGTGAATGTTTTTTTAATGTCAAAAATGATGCAAATCTAAACTTGTTGTTTTCTTTTTGAGCTATTCAGGGCTGCTGCATAGGAAAAAATTGTATGATATCTTTAAGATTCGACGCGAGCGTTTTTGCGTAATTTGTAATTAAAGCTTAAAAATAAGAACAAAAGCCGAAAAACCCTAAATATCATTTATGACATTAGCTCTGATTATGAGAAAACAACTTATTAGTCGTTAAATCTTCATTGATTTCCCATATTTTTTATTATTAAGAGTCAAAAAACGTAGTTCAGACTCTTAGGTAGGTCGTGATATTTTTTTCAGGAAGTTTTAATCTTAAAATACTCTAATAACTACAGAAAGTGCACTCATACACATTAATGCATTTATGAATTGTGCCCTAGGTATATTAATGATTTAGGTATATGTGCCCTTTTTGAGTTCAACTCAAGTTCATTTGCTGAAAGTTTGCTAATATTCGCTCTCCAATTACGCAAAAGGAAATGGAACGAAAAAGCGTGATCGATTTCTAGTTTCGGAAGTTGAATTTTTTAGATTTTCCAGCAGAATAAAACTTTGCCTAACACTCCAGTTTTTTCAAATTGAGTTAAAATTATCAAAAGAGTGCCAATCATAAAATATTCTTGAAATTCAAAGAGCTTTAAGGGCATATATTTTCTCTCTGAATTTCGAAAGTTTTTTCATAAAACAAGTCAGTTATTTTTCTGCTCCTTTGCGTTCATTGAGTCTTTTCCAACTGTCTCTTGGCTATTTATAGCTTCCGGCTGAGGACACTTCGCTCTGAAGTATCTAAAATCGAAGGTCGAAACGAGAAAAAAGTCTCGCAATATTTCTTTTCAAATACATTTCTGATTTGTTTCTGCTCATGGCGGAGCCAAAAAAAGCAAAAAAAAAATCACTCGCTCACTCGTGCCAGATTTGCGAAAGCAAAACTTCTCATATTCTGACCAAAATCTCAAAAATATGAATACAAATTGACTAAAACAATGAATTCCGAAATCAGCTTATACTGCAATCAAACAGCTAACATGGAACAAAGTTTCTAGTTGCAATTTGTTTATTCGTCTTCAAAGGCGAAGTCGGCGTCTGGATCAAAATTCAACAAGGCAGCGCGTTTCTTCTTTTTCGTTCTGGTGGCCAACTGCTCAACCAGACGATTATGTGACTTTTTCTGCGTCTGCAGCTTTTCAAATCTTCTCAAAGTATTGGGAGTCCTGTAGAGTGGGTTCTTGTAGATGACACTTCCCGAGAAGCTGCCGTTGAACACTTTCACAGGTTCCAACACCATACGAGGTCCCACCTCAGCCAATCCGGCTCCTTCGGGTAATATTTGGTAATTTCGGAACCAGACTTTATCGTCTACTAATGAGAAAGTAAAGACGTGGTCTATGAATGGCTGTGATTTTGGATGTCCACAAGGAGTGCTGAAAATTGACACGAAGAGCTCCTTGAATAAGTTCAAGTGCGGCCGTTCGTCAAACTCAGTTCCGAAGGACAATATAGCACGGGAGCTCTTCAGACAATTTCCAGTCAATTTCAGTTCCTCCATCGTGCAGATATTGTGCAGCAAAAACACAGCAGATAATCCTAGTTTGGAGTCACTCATGTATAGAAAGACATCTTTGAGCTTATGCGATTCAAAATACATAATTTTGGTGCAGTTTTTGATCTCAGCTATATCGTTCAGCTCTGTCAGCCCCTTTTTCCGGTCAAACTTTGAGTCGCCTTTGGCATGTGGTAGAAACTTGAGCAGGTTTTTCATCAGATGCCGACTTCTGTAGTCAACTCTGCGTGAACAGATGACCAGCACACGTGTCTTCCGCTTCCACCTTAGAGCACGTTTTTTTGTCGGGTGGTTTGGGTCCAAAATTTCAATATCATCAGCCGGCATTTCACCCTGAAAAAACTTATCATGGTAGGCAACAGATTAAAGAAAAAAGTCAACGAAGTCAACGAAACGGAAATATATATCACGTTAAAGCTCTTTCATTTTCAATCATTTTTTCGGATTGACACTTTCAACAAAAATCCAATTAGAGAAAAGTGGGTCAAAGGTCAACAAATAGAACTACACTTGTGAAATCTGAATATTAAAACACACGTTTGAAACAAAGTCGTTCTAGTTTTTTCGCGGCATATTCAATTACGTTATTTTACAGCGTAATTTACCTTACTTTCAGCAAATCATTAATCATTTTAATTTGAACTTTAAGAAAACAACACGCAGAAAACAAACACGCCAGAACACAACATCTATTTAAGTCATAATTCACTTCATTCATGATTCATTAACACTTAATAAAGAGTTTATCAAAAAGGATCAACCTATGAGAAAGCATAATAGCTGTTCAGCTCATAACCGAAAAAAAAGCCTACTTTACATTATGATATAGATGCGTTTTTGGTTACTTTGCTTTCTTCAGATGGCGTTCAAGGCAATTAAATTGCCCAAAAACTTTTCTTCGTAAAACCAATTCTAGCGTTGACACTCTCCAGTCATTTTAAAATGACTACTTTAAAAACAGAAAAGTATAGATTCAATTACCTCGCAATACTGCTAGACAAATAAATAAACAAGCAACAATTTGTGTTTTGAACTCAAATTTCATATTCAACTTTGAAATAAACTAAGTCTAAATAAATAACGTCTTTTTAAACCCGACAAGACTTTTCAAAAACAACGACTTCATTTTCCACAACTTTACATTAGGCATGATTTTTGTTGGAGAAATTGGACTTAGAAATTCAACTTGGCGGCACACTCTTTAATAGCCTTATCCAGGAACTGCTGCTGAGACATTTCGGGCAACTTGACGCCTTCTTTCATCAGTGTAGTGCCTGTGAACCTAATCAAATTGGTGATCTCTTCGTTGCTCTTCCAGTAGTACCTTTCCTTCAGCTTTCCGAACACTTTAGCCCCGATACTTCCTTTGTTTCCAGCCACTGCAGCTACTCTCGCAGTTTGACTTGAGTTTGAACTGAACAACAAATAAAATCAGTACCTCGAAACCCTCACTTAATTTGCCCACAAAGATTCTGGGCGGATGAATAATATTTTTACAGATTCAAACTCAGTGGCTTTGGGGAGTCTTCTGATATATAAAAAATTGTTACAATCCGGGATCCGGTAAGTTGAATTTCGCCAATCTTAAACTGAGTACAAAAAAATGCAAATACAAAAATACAATTGAAAACTCTCCCTACCCAACGTTTTTTTCATGAGCTGCGCAAAAACCTTTTTTTTTACAAAACAACAAACTCTGCGCTGAGATATGTACGATACCCCGTTCATGCCTTCAAATGCAACAAATATACTCAAAAAGTTAATCTTTTTTAAAAAGGAACTGAATATATTAAAATGGATCAAGATAATATCTTCCACCCCACTATTCAATTTAGATTAGAACAGTTTAATGCTGCCGTGTAAAATACTCTTATCTTATTGGTCCAAATCCAATCTCACCTCTAAAACGCTTTACGGAGCAGAATGTTAACTAGGTCCAATAAATTTTGAATTACGTGTTTGAACTCTCATTGGCTGGGTTTTTCCCACTTTCTGATGCGTCTGCCGATTGTAGGCTGGCAGCTGAGGCGGATGTCGCCGCTTGAAGTGGTCTGCTGGCAACATCGCTGTCAACATGAGACTGACTACCCGGACTCTTCCCATCTGAAATATTCAAGATTTTCAGATCAAAGGTCGAAACCCTCTTTTCCATCCAAAATGAAACTTAGAAAGGATAGCAGGTTTCTTTGCAAGCAGCACAGAAAGTTACAAACACAATAATTAAAAACTAATTGTATGATTTTTCATTCGAGGTTATGATGAGAGGATCTGAATGAAAACCACGAAGTTAAGCATATTCAATAGTAACAGGCAGTGGAAAAAGAGTCAATGAACACAAGTACATACAAAAACTGACTTCCACGAAAAAAAAAATGGCCTTAAAGCTCCTTGAATTTCTAGAACGACTTATGATCGACTTTTTTGATGAAATTAACCAAATTTGAAAAAAAAACTGGCTCAAGAAGTTTAAATTTTTGTTTCGCCTTTCTTTTAACGAAGGAAAGGAACCGAACTTAGGAAAAATCAAAAGTCAAACCAAGAAAAAGTGGATTTGAGCCTTAACAAAATTTTAGACTTAGAATAAAAACAAAAAAAAACTATCGCGACGTTTATAAGAGTCTAAACAAAGTTCATCGCCTCTCAATTACGTATATTCGACTTTTTCCCCCTCAGAAAATAATTGTAAAAATTGAAACATACTTCAACTTTTTGCAGAGAACCATTTTGATTTCTTAAATTCTTTGACGGCGCTAAAAGAAACTTCGAAAACTAATTTTACTGTAGTAAATCTAAATTTTCATAGCTTAATTTGAAAAGGAATTCTCTCTTTCAATGACGGGCCCCTTTTAACTATCTTCTAGATAAAAAACACAGAGGCGAAGCTGAGCTTCGCCTCACTTGCGATACACAAAGCCACCGACTCGTAAGAAAATAGACAAAACGCCAAAAAACATCCGAAATTTTCGATGTTTGTTTCAAACTGAAACTCATTTTGATGAAAACCTGTGCCAGAACACAACAACCAGAAATGAACAAGCTTGAAAAACTTCAGATTGCGCTACAATTGAGCAACAAAATAATCAGTGGAAAAAAAACAAAGCAAAAAATTTTTCTGAAAAACTAAGTTGAAAAAAAATTACTTGAAAATATGACTAAAAAAGCGGGAAATCTACAGCTACAAAAACTTCATGGTTGTATCGCATGACTTTCATAAAAAAATTGAATATCATTCACTAAAAAGCAACAAAGGCGACAAATTTTGGGTCGAAACATGTTGAGTTGAAAACAAAACTGTTGTCATAAAACCACTCAGCCACGGAAGCTTAAGATCCCCAAAAACTAGCCACGAATAACGCAGCTACATATGCTAATAAATTGCTAATTCGATGCAGCAGACGTAGCACCAAATACAAAAAGACACAATTTTGCATGTAATAAATTGGAAAGCATAAAGCCAAATTATGTATAAACTATGCATTTCAACAAATTGCAAGATATATTGAGTTTGAAAATGTCTCAAATCGAGCTTTTCATCATTGTACTACTGTTCGAAACAAATAACTTTTTTTCGGCTCATTTGATGAATTAAAAATGCATTAGCTGTGTTAACTTTTTACTAATCAAATGTCAAAGCTTTCATGATATTATACTGCTACCGCAGCCTACCAATTCAAAAATGCCACCAAAAGTAGCACTTCCATTTGCGACTTAGGTTGAAAAAAAATTCGTACTAATACACATTGCTTTGCTATTCTAAATAAACATTATTCTTTAAACTAAGAATCTTACAAGATGATTTTTTCAGAAAATTATTTAATTTTTAGATGCAACCAGTCTTCGCTTTCAGAGGAAGCTCCATAACTTCCTAGCATAGAAACTGCCTAGATTAAAAGAAATTTCTCGAAAATTTTTGAGACAGTCGAAAGGTTCATTTTTTATGTTGTTCAGATTTGCTTGTTTTGTTATTAGATCTTTGCTAGGGAAAGTAACAGATACAGCAAACCGCACGTTGTTACTGAAGCTGATCAAAAACTATTTATTTAAGTATTGTAATGAGAAGGAAACAATCGGAAAAAAAATTTTTGAACTTAATTTAAATTGCCTAATTAAACAAAAGAAGATGCGGTTGCATGCATCTAGCCTATTATTGAATTTTCAGTGTCAAGAAAACCTGGGAGATTTTTCGCTTTCGTAAACTTAAAATTTCAGATTTGCCTTTGTTGTGACTTAAGAAGTGAGCTGAACTTCAAAGAAATCAAAAGTATAACCGCGAAAAAGTACAAATTTTTAGACTTTTCCTGAAAAAGAAATCATCACAACTGACATAAGAGTCTGAACTACGTTCATCAACTCTTAATTAGCCAAAAAAAAAATCACTTTTTTATATTTTTATTATGTTTAAAAAAATTGCAAGGTGAGAATATTTTGTATTACATGCACAGCAAAATGCTATTCTTGTAAATCACTTTCCACGTTCAACTATCTGTTTATTGCACCGTAGGTTAAAGTCTCGCATTCTTTAATAATACACTAGTGGACAAAAGTATAACCGCGAAAAAGTACATATTTTTAGACTTTTCCTGAAAAAGAAATCATCACAACTGACATAAGAGTCTGAACTACGTTCATCAACTCTTAATTAGCCAAAAAAAAAAATCACTTTTTTATATTTTTATTATGTTTAAAAAAATTGCAAGGTGAGAATATTTTGTATTACATGCACAGCAAAATGCTATTCTTGTAAATAACTTTCCACGTTCAACTATCTGTTTATTGCACCGTAGGTTAAAGTCTGGCATTCTTTAATAATACACTAGTGGACAAAGTTAAGAGCAAATTCAGGATTTTACCCTGTAAAATGCAAGTTTTCAACGTACATTTTGGACAACATTTCCTTCGAAATTCAATCAAATTTTTACATTGACCGAGAGCAAATGATCAGATCTACCATCTGTGAAAGTATCAATATTTATTTTCAATGACTTACCAATGTAATCCGGATCTGAATATGCCAGTTTTCCGCATCTGCACTAAGCTTTGCATCGTAGTAAAACCTTTCTTCAGTAAGCGGAGTAAGAAATTTGTTCATGCAACGTGAAACATACTCAGTGAGAAAATAGAAAAAATCAGTGGGAAATTTTAGCTAAACTAAGATGCTTGTTACTTATTCACGCGAAGTAAAAACTAAATGCAGATGAGGAAAACTTGCATTTTTGGACCCGGATTACATTGCTAAGTCATTGAAAACAACTATTGATACTTTCACAGATGGTACCTATGATCATTTGCTCTCGGTCAATTTAAAATTTGACTGAATTTCGAAGGAAATGTTGTCCAAAATGTACATTGAAAACAGGCAGTTTACAGAGTATAATCTTGAAATTGCGCCTAATTTTGTCAACTAGAGTATTTCGACTAACAAACCTTGTGACGTCGACTGAGTTAACATATTGCCGTTATTTTTACTCTTGGCATCTGTTGGAGTCACTTTTTCTTGCAACACGGCAAAAAGTTCTGAGATAAACTTATCTTTTTCTTCCAGCTTTTTCGACAATTCCTCCTTCTCAGTATAACGTGGAGTATAATTTGTACTTCACCTCTTTTTTGAGGCTAAGAAATTCCGATTCAGAAAGCATTTTGAGCCGAGAAACTCAGTTAATAAAAACGAAATAAAATGCGTTTTATGACGTAGAACGCTTTTAAAATGTATTCTTTAATTTTGAACACCAAAGCATGTAAATTCCATTTAGAGTGAGTTGAACAGTTGAACGATCAACGTAGAAAATAAAGTAAGCTCACCAAAATTGTAGCCAAGAAGCTGCACTTTTTTAACGATCCAATCTGACGACCAGTTAGTATACCTAACATGCTTAATTGAATTTTGTTGCCTCCAAAACTAAAGAGTATGATCAACCACTCAAAGGGTATGAACAAACGAGAAAAATGAACGGTATGAATTGAGGGTGATTTAATTGTTTATCTTAAATATATTCAAGGTTAATGATAAAGTTAGCGCAAAAAAAATCCCAAAAGCAAATTGTCCTGTTAATTCTAAAGTGCGGTTCATTTTACCGAGTTGACTTCTGTCAGAACTGTTCGGATGAAATGGTTTCATAGGAGCTGCCGCAACACTGTTTGTTTTAAACTTGGACCCAGGCGCTGAAAATTGCCATAGGGGGACGGTGACTTCCTCCTCCTCTTCGTCTGAGAAGTCTTCGCTTTTGCTCGATACGACAGCAGTTGCAGTGCCCGAATACGATTTGTCACTTGAAAAAGGCGGAGAAATTAAGCTCGAGTCATTCTTCTCGGCCTGAGACTTCAGTTCTTCAAAAATCTGCTCTCTTAGTTTTGAAATATCAGCGCGAATGGAACCAAAAGGAGGCGAAAAATCGTCTTTTCGCAAATCGTTGCTCTCAAAAGTTACCAATGCTTTTCGGTTTTTTGTGAGCTCTGCTTGGAGACTTTCGAGCTTGGAAGAAAAAATGGTAAACTTATTCGATTCTAGCACAAATAATTGTGCCAAGTATTTGCGAATCTCACTCAACTGAAGCTCATATTCTTTGTACACAATAGTCCACTTAATGATGTTTACATCCCTTTGATCTATGGAGCTTCTGGGTTTGGGCATTTCGTCTGCGGCGGTGGCGCTTTTGGTGGCGAGTAGCGTATTCAAGCGGTTTTTCTCCTTCTTCAAATTGCGAGTTTCCTCTTCTAAGGCTCTGAGTTCCTTCAGACAGGCAGCTACTGTTTTCCCTTTAGACGAGGCGTGGGCCTCCACAATTATTCGCACCAGACAGTCTCGCTCTTTTTTCAACGCGTCTATTTCAAATTTGAATGCACTCAAATGACTCAAGCACTTTTTCAGATGTTCGTTGCCACATACTTCGGTATTGGTTCCTCTTGAAATCTAAATGTAAAGGATCATATTGAAAATACAACAAAAAATCATTTAAAAAAAACAAATTGAAAAAGCAATAACCAGTTTCTGTGCAATTACAGCAGAAAGCGCTGACTATCTTGAACTTTCCAAATCAAATTTTTCATGTGTTCTCTGTTTTTGGCGCGAGCTTCGGCTTCAAAAAATAACTACTTAATTGACACAGTAACAATTTTAGCGGCTTGCTATCCAACTACCACAACGTTTTTCAACAACAATGTGTACGTAAAGATGTTCAAGATGAATAATTAAAAAATTAAATTGGTAATTCAGAGTCTAATATCAAAGTTGGAGTCATTTAGTCCGAAAACGGAAATTTAAAAATTTTTCGACAACAGTTTTTTAAGAGATCCAGTTTTTGGACAAGTTTTTTGGAATCGGAGTCGCGACTAGTAAATAATTAAAAGGACGCTACCCTTGGCCCGTAAAAGCTTCACTTGAATCACCCTAAAACGGGCGACCAAAAGCACCCTTGGCTATAGCTCCTTCTAGGCCCAGTTCGAGCAAAACCTTTTTTTAAAAGAGGCTACACGAATAAACGTGCAAAATGCGGAAATTCTTCTGTGTTGAAAATTTAATAAGCAGACCCGCTCTTTATTGGGTCATAAGATGTTTAAATGGAAGTACACTTCTCCATGAGCGGCCTATCTCGATGGGTCATGGGTGAGAAGGCGCGAAGTCGCATGCATGTATTCTACGCAGCCATCGGAACCCCCAAGTTAACGGATGAGGTACAATCAGTGGATCAATCATCAAGTGACTGTCCAATAACGCCTGTTGGTTCCGATTTCTATAAAAATGGAGGCGTTAAAAATCGTTTTTTTTCCTGTCAAAACCTGTGCTTTGCCATGAGTGTAAGCTTCATGCTAGCTCAAAAATTTGGAGCTGAATAATGTTAAAATTAATGAGATTATTGGCATGGATCTTATGAATTAACAAAGAAGCAAGAAAAATCACGAACTTAATTCTGGTGATTTGACAGCGGCTACTAGAATTAGTTTTTGTCACCTTGACTTAGCAGAGTGTCCCTTACTGTGGATTCAAACGATCAAGAACACAACTGCACATTTTTTTTTGCAGGAGCGATTTGTTTCGAAGCGAACTTGGCGAATTGCTGTCCATTTATAAGCTCCGACAGGGACAAAAATTATTGTCTTCGTGTCGCAAAAATATATTAACTGATTTGCTACTTGGGTTATGTTGTTATTGCTTTTAACCCGAGTACAGCCCTCCAGTTTTTGGGAGTGCAGAAAGCTATTTGGGTTATCTACAAACATACTGAACCACGCAATATCGGAAACTGGAATTAAGATTAGAGGCGAAAATTACTTGAAACTTCATAAGGTAGGCGGAGAGGTACTTTTTGACTGGGACTTGTTTGATAGCATGTTTAAAAATACTTTTTTTCAGACTGAGCAAAATGGTCCATCTTAAAACCTAATTTTAAACTTACTGGCATGGCGCCTTCGTCCTCTTGCGATGACTCAGAGTACATTACAAGTCGGGTCTCATCCTCTTTGCTCCCGTCGGATCCCAGCCTCGGCCTTTCCTCGCTTCCGGTCGGTTCCTGGAGAGTAATCTGATGCGCACTATGGCCGTCCGTCCCAATTGACTCTTGGTTCCTTTCATTTGCATTCACCTGGCTCATCTGATTCGGTGGATCTAAGTGATGCTCTTCAATATCGTTGCAAACATCACCAAAACCATCTAAAGATTGCTCTCTGTCACAGACATTATTAAGTGGGTCTTCTTCGCCTGTCAGAGTCATCTGCTCGATGACTATGGTTTGATGTAGCACTACTGGGTTCGGCAGCGGCTGCTGTGGCTGAAACACTGGCGCATTGGGCCTCAGAGACGAGTTTGACTTCTGGCTCTGCAGCTCGAGGGAGAGTGCATCGGTCCAGCTTGATTCTTCTGATTCTGTGTCCGATTTCACGAGTTCACCCTCCAGATTTGCTTCCAGATCCTCCATTGAGAAACAACTCAATTGAAAACAAATCTTCAATTCTGTATTAACGGCAGGTTCAAATTTGAGTCATTTGTTACCTTGAAGAAACATGGGTATTATAAGCGAACATAATACGCCTTAGAATTCGAGTTCACGTGCCGGTTTAAAGAAATATGCGCTAAGGCTAATATGATTTAGCATATTCTACACTATTTTGCATCGATCTCTCCAATTAAATCAGAAGTTCAAAGCAGAGACCGATGTAGCTACAACAACAACAAGAACAACCTAATGTACCTTTTAGTTAGCCCAAGTATAATGAACCGCAGCAAAACAAGAAGAAAGCGAAAATATATAAAGTCAGAGTTGGTAAATTTACAAATTACGGAACAATTTTCAATAGCAGTAAAATAAACATTGAAAAAAAGGAGGTCCAGAGGCCTCAAACCCATAGGCTTTAGGAACCCAAAGGCACTCCACCATAGGTTTTAGAACCCCACTTGACCAGGTGTGAAAATTGGGGTCTGGAAATTGCGGAAGTTTCATAATAAATCAATGCCTTTTTCTACCATTGCAAGAAAAGTTATTTTATGGAGAAAAAAGTCAAGTTTCCGATTACAAGAAAGCTTGCTTTCGCAAGTTTTAAAAACTCAAGGTCTAGAAATCTATGTTAACAGCATGGTGAAAAACTCGGGAAAACAATTTGATTAGTGTTATACTATATGATCATTTCTATGCAATACAGGAAATTCAGATCGTCACCGCTCACTGATAATGAACACGCTTAAACACAGAGTGGAGGTTGTGCTTCGCAAACACTACCGATGACACGACAAAAAGCAGCTCGAAAAAAATGGAAAAGGAAAAAGTAGAATTAAGCCACGAATTGGTAGAAATTCGGCTACGTCTGAGTTTCGTACCTACGAACTAATGCGACCTAGAGATTTCAAGTCTAACACACTAACCACTCAGCCAAGGACGCTTAATTAATGACAAGCACTAGCCACAAATAAAGAAGAGAACAGATGCTATGCATTTTCCAATGATACAGTGAAATTTCCATATCAGTGAACACTTTCAATGAACTTTCAATTTGCGAGTTAGGTTAGAAAAAAAGAAGGTTCGTACTAATACACTAACGGTCGTAAGCTCGCTTGTGTGAATAGGACGAATACATAAAAACTTAGAAAAATAAAAAATCTCGAGGACTCTGAAGCATTTGAGTTTCTCTTTGAATTGTTATCGTGTTTTTTTTTTTTTGAAAATGAACTCGCCCAGAATTTCTATAACGACTGCAAAACATGATACCTTTTATTCAAATTTTATGCATATGTCCTTAAGGCTGGAAACATAAAAGCAGACGCACATTATGTCAAAAAACCAAAGTTTTTGTCAAATCCAGTATTTACCAATCCAACTCTGGAGCGAAAAAAATTGAAAACGCTCTCCAGCAATAAAAGATATATTTTTAGTTATAGTCCACATATTAATCCATCAAATGTAGTTTTTTACCAGATTTTAATCATATCTTGCGTTATTGTTTCTATATGGGCTTGTTAAGGCTCGTATGGGTCAAGTGTGCTATCATATTATAGCCCTTATGTTCATGATTCAGATCTTAGAAATATCAAAAAAATGAGATACTGACCTCCTAATTAAAATCTTCTACACTAATCATGTTACTTAAGCTATTATAGATTTTCCTATTATAGACTTTCAGCATAATAGACTTTTGTTATAGATTTTATAGATTTAGCTATTACAGAATATCCCAGACTTTCCTAATTCAGTAGCCTCAATTAAACTGAAATAACAGGCTTTGAAAGACATTGTCTCATTTTTGAACATTGAAATTCAATCACTGTGGTACGAACTGAACTGTCTTTGCTACTTGCGCAGGAAAAAAATATTCCAGTTGTCGGAACAAAAAAATAGGAAATAAGTGACAAGTAACTTTTACTAACTGATAGTGCTGATTTAAATTATCCAAAACAAATGAACAAAACTGGACACTTCAAACGCGTTTTTCTCAAATTGGGTTGAAGTCAGAAAAAAATTAGAGCGCACAAATTGCTTAGAACTTAAATAGAACTAGCGTTTAACGCACCTCCGGTGCTTCGAAATTTTTCGTCTACTCATGAAAAACCGCATATATTGGAAACAACATCTGCAAACTTTTAGTGTACTCTGACTGCACCAAATTTCGAACTTTTTAATTTTTTAATTCCCATTTTAAAAACGTCATCTCGAAAACTTAATGGGCCTCTAGAGAAATTTGGAGGCCAGATTTGCAACCGCTGAGAGTCCCTGAGAGCACCCTACTATAGGGTTAGGAATTCAAAATTTTGTTAATTTTTTTAAAACTGAGTTTCCCGAAAAAAAAAATGAAAAAAACATCTTATCTAAAAAACTGAAAGGATTTGAGCATTCATATGAAGAGGCAAGATTTTAGGCGCCTGGGTGTACGCTGACAATAAGGTTATATCTTCATCAAATTAGTAGTTTCAAATTTTTTGAATTTCTTTGTAGATAAGTTTTTTTTGAGAAATTTTGAAAAAATCAAAAAACGTCATATCTCGGAAACTCAAAGCATTTGAGCAGTCGCATGCGGCAAGATTTGCAACTCTTTAGAGTACCCTGACAACACCGAACTATAGCGTTGGGAAATTCAAATTTCGAAAAATAATTAATATAATTTTTCTGAAAATTTTGAAAAATCACAAAAAACGTCACATCTCGAAAACTACGAAGAATTGAGCAGTCATATTTGGAGGCAAGATTCTCAATCCTTGAGAGTACTCTGACAGGACCTAACAACAGGTTTGGGAATTTCAGATTTTTAAAAAATAAAAATAATTCAAGTTTTCTGAAAATTTTGAAAAATCACAAAAAACGTCACATCTCGAAAACTACGAAGAATTGAGCAGTCATATTTGGAGGCAAGATTCGCAATCCTTGATAGTACTCTGACAGTACCCAACTACAGGGTTGAAAAATTCAGATTTTTCAAAAAAATAATAATCTTAAACTTTCTGAAAATTATTGGAAAAATCACAAAAAACGTCATATCTCGAAAACTACAAAGAGTTGAGCAGTCATATTTCGAGGCAAGATTCGCAATCTTTGAGAGTACTCTGACAGGACCCAACTACAAGGTTGGGAATTTCAGATTTTGCGAAAAAAAAATTAATATAAATTTTCTGAAAATTTTTGAAAAAATCACAAAAAACGTCAAATCTCGAAAACTACAAGGATTTGGTCAGTCATATTTGGAGGCAAGATTCGCAATCCTTGATAGTACTCTGACAGTACCCAACTACATGGTTGAAAAATTCAGATTTTTCAAAAAAATAATAATCTTAAACTTTCTGAAAATTATTGGAAAAATCACAAAAAACGTCATATCTCGAAAACTAAAAAGAGTTGAGCAGTCATATTTCGAGGCAAGATTCGCAATCTTTGAGAGTACTCTGACAGGACCCAACTACAAGGTTGGGAATTTCAGATTTTGTGAAAAAAAATTAATATAAGTTTTCTGAAAATTTTTTGAAAAAATCACAAAAAACGCCATATCTCGAAAACTACAAGGATTTGAACAGTCATAATTGGAGGCAAGATTCGCAATCTTTGATAGTACTCTGACAGTACCCAACTACAGGGTTAGGAATTTCAGATTTTTACAAAATAATATTTCAAGTTTTCTGAAAATTTTTGAAAAAAAATCACAAAAAACGTCATATCTCGAAAACTACAAGGATTTGAGCAGTCATATTTGGAGGCAAGACTCGCAATCCTTGATAGTACTCTGAGAGTACCCAACTACAGCGTTGGGAATTTCAGATTTTTAAAAAATAGTAATTTAAGTTTTCTGAAAATTTTTGAAAAAATCTCAAAAATCGTCTTATCTCGTTAACTAAAATGATTCGGGCATTCAAAATTGGAGGCCAAATTCCCCACCCCTAATTCGACATTGGGCTGCTTAATTTAAACTCGGTAAAATAACCACTAAAATCAAATTGGAAAATCGAAAAAAAATTCTTAACCATTGCAATATACGATATAGCTTAAACATGCGAAAATAATACGTTGAAAAAACTTAAGCATGGCGAGATAGTGAAGCCCGCATTTAAATAAATAACAGATTACATGCGCAAAACGTATGAAGTTCTTTCAATTAGTCGAAAGGACATTTTTTGGCTATCAAGCAAAAATATACTTGGTGATACAAATTTTTGGACATTATACCCTCCTGGAACTTTGTTGAGCTTGTTCCTGGAATATATGATGTCTATCAACTGAATAGTAGTTCTTGGGTAATTTTTGACAAAAAAAAGACAAAATTACCCCTGTTTTAGTTTTTTTTTAAATTTTGGTTTCGAAGCGCGCAATTTAACTTTTGAAAAAACTCTAAGCAATTCATTTTCTTCACTTTTCTCTAACCTCAACCCAACTTGAGAAAAAAGCTTCAGATCCGAACACTCTTTATCCATTGAAATAAATTACGTGAAATTAATTTAGAACAGCTCGAGTCAGCCGAAATGACTTCAATATGCTACTCGTTTACACACATTCGTCGTTTTTGGGGTTCCAAATTCGATTTCCGTGTCAAGTTATAATACAGTGCTGATTTAAAATATCCGGATAAAACTTGAAACTTCAAACGCATTTTTCTCAAATTGGGTTAGGATTAGACAAAAAATGAAGAGAACAAAATAATTCTCCACCAAAATTTTACCCTAAAAATGTTTTTTTTTTAATTATTCAAGAACTACGCTGAAACTACTTTGTTAATTGATGAATGTCACAAGAAGCCTATTATACAGCCCAACAAAGTTTTAGAAGGGTTAAATCTCCAAAAACCCGTATAAGAGAAAATATTTTTGCTTGATAGTCAATAAATGGGATTTTTACTATATAAAGCCCAAAATAATTGCCTAAAACAATTTTAAAATATTTTGCGCGTTGAGCTGTATAAGCGTCTTAAACTACTTTGTTAATTGATGAAAAACTACTTTGTTAATTGATGAAAAAAGTATGTCACAAAAAGCCTTTTATAAAGCCCAAAATATTTGCCTAAAACAATTTTGAAATATTTTGCGCGGAATTTTGGAGACTTAACCCTCCTAAAACTTTGCTGGGTTGTATAAAAGGCTTCTTGTGACATACTTTTTTCATCAATTAACAAAGTAGTTTCAGCGTAATTCTTGATTAATTAAAAAAGGCCAAAATGACCATTTTTGGGGCAATTTTAGGTTGAGATTTTCGGAGAAAAAATTGCAACATACTAATTCTGGTTAAATTATAAGCAATTTTTGTTCTGTTCACTTTTTGTCTAATCCTATCCCAATATGAGAAACACGCGTTTGAATTTATAAATTTTGTTCGTTTTGTCCTTTTAATTTAAATCAGCACTGTATAAAGTGACTGTTAAAAAGGAGACTTACAGTTACAGGTTTCCACATTCTCAAGAGGTTCGCACTTGCTCGGATGTCTTCAGGCTCAACAGTATTTTCCGTAAAACTGCGCACCGGTTTTTATAATTTTCGGTCTAACATTTTATCTACTTCCACGTTAAATTAAAAAAGGACAGCTTAATTTGCAGCTGTCGTCCTTAACTTGTGAGCGAAATGAATTGACCATTGACAAAAACGATGAAAAAAAAATTCAGCTAACTCAAAAATTTTAACTATTACCGCCTTATAATTTTTAAAACTAAAACTTCGACAATACCATAAAATCTCCAAATTATATATGAAAATCCTTTTTATAACACTTGAATTTGTAAGTAAAATTGAAATACAGAGGCGAAGCAGAGCTTCGTACAACTAGCGATAAACCACAAGTATAGCAAGACAAACTAGCAGATGAAAATTGAGACGAAAGCTGCTTTTTTTGAAGTTTTAAAAGGTAGATCTATCAAATCTTTCATATCTCTCTCACTATTTGTCTAAAATAAAATTCACTTGAAAAAACATGTCAAATGATACAAATGGAAGTTAAATTTGCAACGAAACAAGACTTACGAAGCGATAACAAAGCCGACAATTTCTGAGCAGAAACCCGATGAGCAAAAAAAAATTTTTTCAAAGTTTTTTTGAACCTTTTAAAAAAATATTGAATTACCCCCTCAAAAGCCTCAAACGCATAGCAAACCTGTTTCGCTCATCTAACGACGCAACATGATGCCACTAAACTTATTCCGCAAGCCGATTGAGCCGAGAAGCAAAAAAAAAGAAAAACGGAAAATATAGCCAGCATAGACTTTCGAACTTCAAAGAAAATAAATTTATTACCTTAGAGCTCTTTGAACTTCAAGAGCAATTTATGATTGACATTTTAGGATAAATAACCAAATTTCAGAAAATTGGATCAATAAGTAAATTTCTCATTCCGCTGGAAAAACTGAATATTTAAATCACTTTCGAAACTAGAAATCGATCACATTTTTTATGACATTTACACTTTTGCTGTTCGATAGTGCAGCTTGCCTACCAATTAGCAAAACAAATTAAGTGTACGAATAAAACAAAATCAAAAGTCAAACTGCCAAAAGTCAAAGCTTAGCGAAGTTTCAGACTTTTCTTAAAAAAGATTCACCAAGACTTAAAAAAAGAGTAATCACTATGTTCATGACTCTTTAAAACGGATATAAAACAAAAAAACATATATTGAAAATAACAGGTATTTGAAATCCAGACTTGTTCGAAAAATGTGTCCGTAGACGATAGAGCAAATTTGACAAAATGATTCAGTGATTCTGTTGTACAAGTTGTTATTCAGAGATGTTCCGAATTATTAACACTTGCTCATCGAGAGCATAATTATCGCAAGCGTAATATAACCACGCACCTTAATCGACGGGGAGAAAGACACGAACAAAGCAAGACGCTTAAGAACTAGCAAAAAGGAACTCGAATGTTAACGTTGAAGGAACTAGAACACGACAAAAAAATTTAAATTGAGTTTTTAAAGTTTAAATTTATTCACCTGTTTTAAATAGGTCCCAGGGGGTATAATTTTGAACATTCAAACATTTGAGACTAGAGTCTTATCGCTCTCATGGTAACTGTCTTAATTCAAGCGGTAATTGAGCCGAAAATACCTGCGCAGAACCCCTTCAGCCACCGAAAAAATATCTATCAAAACATTTGGAGCTATTAAAAAAAATTAAGTATCCCTAAAAACATACAGAGCTACATAAAAACTGCTTTCTCTCATCAAACGGCGTAAAATCAGGCCACTAAACGGATATAATAAGCCTTAACCTCTTAAGCCGAAAAAATTGAGTTAGTTAACTGAAATTTTAAAAAATCGAGGTGGCAAAAATTACATCCATCGTGAAAATCAATTTCGAATAGGACGGATATTTAAAGAGCTAGCACGCTCAAAGTATGAGGTTTGAAGTATTTCCAACCGAGAGGACCAGCAAATGAAAAATTCCAGGGAATGAGCCCTGTGAACAAAGTTATATTAGGGAAAACAATTTCGGACCGATTGCACTACTCTCGCTGATCGCAAAGAGTAAGAACAAATTTGCAAGTAAAATGAAAAACAAATTTTATAACATATTTTGCCACTGATTTTGAATATTGTTTGTTCCAACTCGAACAATTGATCAGTAACCCTGAAAGTTTCAAAATCTAATTAACATTCGGGATCCGCATCAGTAACATTTATGTTCTTAAGACACCTGTCCATGAGGTAGAGGAATGTGCTTTGACATCTGAAAGCCGGGAAACAATTTTATAATCATAGCCAATAGTCTAATCAGCAAAAATATTGATCTAAAAAGATTGGGTAACATTGTTTGCATCATGTTAGAGTTACATTTTTGCTATTTTCAAAATTAAACAGCGACTATCAGGGTCTACAAAAACGCTCGATCGAAAAAATCTATTTAGTAATATTTCAAAAAAATCTCAGATTCCTGTCACCTTCCCGAAAAAAACTAGAGGCCAATACTTAGCAAATTTAGTAAAGTGATGGTAAGCCAACATGCATTAACGTTCTTTCACAAACCGAACTCAAATAAAGCACGTTCAACCAAGAACATGTAAAACATAGTTTCTTGAGACGTGATTAATTTGACTGCTAAGAGACATGCACAAAAAGCGACCACTAGTCATAGGCTATTCTGACTTTAAAACGTTCTCGCTTTACTTTAAATTCGAAGCGCACCTGTCAAGATTGCAAACCAACTCTTTTTTGAAGAGCTGAAAGTGTTCAATCTTCTGAGCTCGACTAAACTGAATTTACTCAAATGAAAGAAAAAAATTGATAAGCGAAATGATTTTTCTACATTTATTGCGAGTCAAAAAAAAACTGAAAACAAAATCTCACTGTTTGTTATGTCAGTTGTCTCTCAGTCGCTGCAGAGCAAAAGCGAAACAACAATATAAACAAGCATTAAATGTTCTTACAAGACCCACGAACAGTTGATAAAAGAAAGGGTTTAGACGCTAATGGTGAGTTGAGCAGCTATGAAAAAGAGACGGCTGTAAAAAGTCGTTCCAGCTTTGCATTGGGACTGGCGATGGCGCTGTCGGCGGATTCAATGGGAAATAGTTGATCGTATGAAACGTCGAAAGAACTCAGCAACCTAATGTTGTGTTTGTATAGACAGTAGATGTTGTCTCCCCCATCCCGCAGATCCTTCATGCGAGCTTGCAACTCAACCAGTAAGCCACTAATTTCGAAGTCCTCAATATGAGTCGTATGATTCTTGAGCTTTTCCAAAAGCATCAACTTCGTTCTCACACCATCGATTTCGGAGTTGACGAACCGCAAATGTAAATGCATTTGCTCCTTGTATAATTTCAGAAAATCTACTCTAGACAACGTCGGGTTTTTTGGTGGGAAAAAATGGGACGTGGTGTCTTCTTTGGCGCGGCTGGGAATCGAACTCACGCGCGGCATCTCAGTCGCAAAATTGGAGGTCATCGGAGGTTTGGACAAAAACGGGGCGTCCGGCGTACTGTTACTTCGCTGGAATAGTGAGCCAGGTGGATTTGCCGAAGGAAAAAAATCTTTAGAGATTGGATGGGCGTTTGCTACTGTGGGGTTGAAAACACTAGCAGTCGGATTCAAATTTGACTTCAGGTCCAAGTCAGGTGACAACTCGTTTTTAGCTCTGTAATCTAACGTTCCACATTTTAACAAATCACTCGCTATGTCAAATCCGGGCGGTCTTGTGCCAAATCTTCCATTAAAAGTACTGTTTTCTTTCGAAATAGAAGTCGGATTGGAAAATATTCCAGTGTATATTGTCGCATTAGAAAATCCAGAAAACCCCAAATCGCTAGTTATAGGCTCCTTCACACTGTTGTCAAACTCGTTGGGCTTCGGGGTGATATTTTTGTTCGTGTATTGCGCCATTGAGTCTTGTACAGCCCTCAATCTATCAGTCCCGTTAAAGGGGGAGTAGCCTTGAAAAATTGGGGGATCTAAATTCTCATTACTTCCTGGATCACCACTAGAAAAAAGACCGACAGAGTTCCATTTATCCACACTTTTAGCTGAAGTGGTAACAACCGAAGGCTTGTCTGACTTGCAGGGATCAACTGTAGCCACTGGTTTGCTTATAGGTTTCGGCTTATTGACCAAAAAGGGCCCGTTACCAAAAGCTATATCAACGTTGCCAGATCCTATCTCAGATTGACAACTTACGATTGAATCGGTATTGTCGGCTTTGCTGGAATCTCCATTAGACTGGTCGTCTTCGGAAGGCTTGCGCACTTCCTGTACCGAAGAGTTTTCCGGTTGAACAAAAACGGGCATCTGCGGTTTGGGCTCCGAGGACATTAAGGCCATCATTTTTTGACTTACAGTCATCGAATTAGTTGTTGAACCAAGAGCATCAAACGCTTTAGACGCCACGCTATCAATTTGACCATTCATTACAATTGTGTTATTACCGATCACAGGGTTATAAGGTTTCAAACCGCGCCCTTTATGAAAACTAGAATTTTGTCCGAAATCATCACTTTGAAAAGGATCAGATTTCTTACTATTCGCGTCAGAAGAAAACGAGTTAACATCGAAACTGTTCGACTTATTACCTCCTTTATTTTTGTTGTTGTTTCGCTTGCTGTTCACAGTAATGAACTCGGACATATCGCCCACATCAATTTCGTCAAACTCGTCCAAATAATCTTCTGGGCGGAAAAAGGTTCCCGGCGAAGGCGGCTTTTCATCACTTATCTGATCTACTGTGTCCGCTTCAGGATTAACTTCAGGTGTTTCTTCTTCGGGTCTCGTTACTTCGCTTTCATTCTTGGTTTCGTCTTTTAGTTCCACCTCAAGTTTCCCGTCACAGCAATCAAAATTCCTGACCAGACAAGAGTGCTTCAGCTTATCCGAAATAGAGATGCGGCGGCTCAATGGAGAATCAGTTCCCGATTTTCTGGTCGAAGATGCACTTCGTTCTCTTGAACTGTTATTACTGCACTTCTTGCCCTGTGGATTGTGATTTTTGATCTTAAAAGCCCGTTCGCAATGCATTGTAGTACTGTGCACAGTTTTTAGAAGCCTTTCTCTGCTCGAATAGTTGCCCTTTGAAACACATGAACCCTCTACACAGGGCGAAAATTCGGCCCTGGTTTTCGTCTGTGTTTTCTTGCGGGTCTTTTTAGCTTTCTCCGGTTTCTGAGCCTCATTAGTTGAAATCACTTCATTTGAACCAGATATTTTACTGTTTTTCTTTCCCTTTCCTCCACTGGCATTCGTTCCTCCTTGAGATGTCTTGGAGCTTTCCTGCTCTAGTTCCAACTCGAAACTGCGGACGTCAATGTGTTCTGAGCTGCTCTCCAACTCAGCCTGCTGGTGGTCACACTCAACACTGGTCCAGAACGATCCAGTCATTAGACTTCGAATAGACTCAGGAGTATTCGGCAACTCTAAGTTCAGATCTAAACAAGTTACATTTAACAGCCTCAAATAGAGCTCGTATGTAGCTGAGTGTGGTATTATATTGAAGCCCTATTGGACCTGATTCGGATTCACAAAAAGCGGTTAGTTTAGCAAATTTTTCTCATTTCTACGTTCAACTTATTGTCCATTCAATTATTATGATATGAAAAGAGTAATATTATCAGCGAGTTTAAAGGCGGCAGAAAGAGTGCTATCATTGGTGTTAAAACAAAAACTATCCTCAGAAGTTCCAAAAACAAAGTAAAACACAGAAGCGAAGCAGAGCTTCGCACCACTTCCGATGGAAAACTGAATGAATATCACTACTACCACATGAACCGACATTGAAAAAAAGCCATCTGACAGTTGGAAAACATACTTTTGTTAAAATTAACTCAATGTGGAGAAACTGGATCAATAGTTAACCCTTTTATTTCGCTGGGAAACCTGATTTCCATTTTCGAAACAAGAAGTCGGTCACGTTTTTCGTGACCTTGACACTTTTATTGTTCGATAATGGAGTTTGTCTTCCTTTTAACAATGGAAATGCACTGAACTTAAAAAGAAATCCGCGAAAAACCAAAACTGAGCGTGAACAAACTTTAAGACTTTTTCCTGGAAGTCGAACCGCGAAAAACTAAAATTGAGCGTAAAGACTTAAAGACTTTTTTCTGGAAAAAATCACCAAGACCTATACAAGAGTACTCACTACGTTCATAACTCTTGAAAATAAAAAACTTCAGAAAATTATTTCAGAATAGCGAGAAACCGACCGATAGCTTGGAGCCGAATTAACTCCACCTTAAGAAAACTCACAAACAGAGGCGAAGCACAGCTTCACATTACATGCAATAATATATATACATAGCATGACAACCTAACCGACCAGAAGAGATAAAACCGTTAAAAAAATTATAATATCGAAAAATCGATCTTTCAAAAAAACTTCCATAATTTACCTGAATTTTCTCTTAATATCAAAAAATCGAACTATCAAAAAACTTCCATAATTTACCTGAAATTTACAAAAATTCGTTTCAGGAAAATATGCCAAGTAAGACAATTAAAAGTGAAATAAGCATCAAAACATAACTTACAAAGCAGTAAGAAAGCCGACAATTCTTGAGCAGATATACTTTGCTCCAAAAAAAAAATTCTTTTTTAACTCAAAAAAAGTTATGAGCCCCCCTCAAAAGACTTCGATGAAACCTTATTGCGCTCAAGCGACTCCAAGATAGGCCTCAAAGTCGATATATAAATAGCCGAAAAAAAGAACAAAAATACTGATATACTGAGCCATAAAAAAATTTTACGACCCATCCGAGGTGGAACACCTAGAAGCATAAACACATATTTTGCCCTCGAAACTACGCAAAATATGTTGTCAAAACCAATATCATAAGCCCAATCTGTGTAATCGAAAAAAAAAGAAATTATAAAGAGTTTTTAAAAACACAAATTAAATCAAAGCATCAAAAAACACTTTCAATTACAAAAAAAATATCTTACAACACAGAAAAGCCAAGCAAAAAATTTGGCAACTGAGCCGACAGATCATAAGCAGACAGGCTATAGGCCGATTTTTTTTAAGACTAAACATTTTAAGTTTTAAAAAACGAAGTCCTGACCGGATTCGAACGTAGGCCCTCAGCCGTCTATTAGTTACATTTAACTTTCAATTTTAGTACTACCCAGTAGTTTAATTTAAATTTTCAAGAAATTGAGCATGTTTGATGCAGTGCAGAATTGCTTGCTGCACAAATGATATCTGCACAAATGATTCAGTGATTTTGATTAACTAGTTGTTAACTAGAAAAAAAGTTTAAATTCCTGTTTGATAACGCTTGCTAATCGCGAGCGTAATAAAGTACGCAAAAACTAAAATACCTGGAAAACTCAAATATGCAGTTGCGAGTTTTCTCCGCCATACTTTTGCTTCAAAAACTTCAATAGAACTGATTGTTTTTTCAGCGAGAGTGTATCGGAGGCAGACTTATAGACTTACTGGTGCATTTCAGGGTCTGAAACGCACAATTACATACTCCTTGAAAGTTCCGGCAAAAGCAACAAAGCCGAAAAATTTCAACGAGACGGTTGAAATGCACTTTCAATTTAAAAAACTACTATGTAAAGATTGACCACGTAATCAGTAAAAAAAAGAGATTTGGATTTGTTTAGATTCAACCTTAAAACAGGTCACAACAGAGCCTTCAAAAATTCCAGGAACACTTATGAGATGACTTACTAAATAAATTCAGAGACTAAAATATAAACACAGAGGCGAAGCTTCGCTTCGCAAACACAAGTGAGAACATTACAAAAAGGAGATCTAGAAATTGCAATGAGAAAAAATAGAAATAAGCCTCGAATTAGCAAAAATTCGGCTAGGTCAATGATTCTATCTGCGACCAACTGCAATCAAAAAATTATAAGTCTCACGCACTAACCACTCAGCCTTGGACGCTTAAACACCGACAAACACTAGTCACGAAAAAAGCAGCTACCTATGCTAATAAATTGCCAATGAGATTTAGCAAAATTGGCAATTTAATTCAGATAGACACAATTTAGCAAGTAAAAGTTTGGTATACAACAAACTGAAGGCATCCACACTAAGTCTGCATGTAACAAATTGCAAAGCATAAGTCCACATTAGGTATAATTATTCATTTTAAAAAAATGCAATATAAATTGAACTAGAATATTTCTGAAATGAGTGTAATGATGATGGTATCAAAAATGGCTCAACACAAGAGAAAGCGTTAACAATTTGTTCTGAGTCGTTAACAAATTTGAGATATCTCGAACAAACACCATTATCTCGACCCGACCAAATGAAAACCTGCGCAGTCTTGACCCCATTTGATGAAGCAAGATAACCTATGGAGGCGCTATCGACGAAAAAACAAGAGACTATTAGTAGGTCGCTACAGAGCGCCATTCCAGGCATTGTGGAACAACTGAATGTACAACTGAAAAACTTAGTCAAAACCATGGTAGATGAGGCACTAAAAGTATTCAAAGCCGAAGTGCAATACAACCCGACGAACAGTTAAGGTTTTATCAAGACGAAACCATATCTGAAACCACAACCGGAAGCAAAGATGCTGGAAACTTATAATCGCAGATCAATATCGAGGTTATTGGATTGGAAATTTCAAGTATTAACAATTTCGAACCAACAGAAAGAGCTATTGATAAGAAGCTACCTATCGCTTATAAAGTTGGTTAACATAATGACGAGCGAGATATTTCCATCGCACATCGCCTCCCATCCAAATGACAAATCTATCATAGAACGTTTTTCAAGGCGATTCGCCGAAATCAAACTCGAGAGGAAAGAAGACAGTGTAAGCAGAACGAGACACATTGAAGCACGTCACAAGTTTTGAAGATATTGAAATAACTCTGCAACTAAGACACAATGTTCATCTTATTGAAAAACTTGAAACGTAACTACTCATTAGCTTTTCCCGAGAGCATTTAAATACCTACAATCTCTCGCCGGATGATAGCAAGCAACTTGGGACGAGTTTTTGATCCCCTTGGACTAGTGACACCTGTAACGATAATGCCAAAGATTCTTTTCCAAAAAACTTGGGATGGCGATTTGGAATGGGATGATGATGTTGGGGCACATATAGCGAACCAAATCCAACAGTTGGTGGATACCTTAGGACTTTTGTCTTCCCTGGATGTAACTCGTTACTTGGCCAAGGACAGCTTTCAGCAAGTCGATCTTCATCTCTTCTGCAATGCATCAGAGATGGCTTATGGAGCAGCTATCTATGCCAGACCAACTTCAGACGCAGGAATCCACACTTCATTGCTAGTCGCCAAGTCACGACTTGCACCAAGGAAGACAGTTTTTACTCCAAGACTTGAGCTTTGTTCAATGGTTCTGGGCTGCAAACTCCTAAAAATGTGTCTTGAAGTCAATCTAGAATTTGCAATTGGTGGTAGATGCCAGCGCCTGGAGTGATTCAACAATAGCACTTGCTTGGATCAGATCAACTCCAAACGGGTACTTTACTTCTAAGACCAATCGTATTGCCAAAGTTCACCAGATGCTACCAGGTAACAAGCCGATCATACAACGCGACCAGTAGCAGCAGCTGAATTACAAAATTTGCAATTTGGTTGTCAGGGCCTTCTTGGTTGCAGACAAATGAAGTTTCTATTCCATCACAACCAAGAATTCGAAGCAAAAGAAGAGAAGGAGCTCAAACGGTCATTCGACGAAACCATCCTGCTCACTCAAGCAGCTGGCGGTAAGGAAACCATGCAAGCAGCAAAAGCAACCAGGACTAACCGTCGGACAGACAAAAAGAGAGGAGTTCTTCGATTTGGAACGATGAGGATCTTTTGGTAAAGCTCTACGCATTGGAGCTTTAGTCGCAAAGTTCGCCCTGAAACTTCTGAAGAAAAACACCGACGATCGTAATCAGCTTCGAAGGTTAGGACTAAACCTTCTTGTACGAGACGTTCAGGAGCAGCATTTGGACAAAAAAAAACAGATCAAAAACAAAATTCAAAAACAATGGATCAGGGGCTCCATCAACCAACTCCAGCCGCCTGAGGACCACCTGACACTCCCAATTCACTACCACCACCTTCTCCACAACTTCCACCTTCGCCGCGATCAAACCGACAACTTCACACCCGCCTTCTTCTTACTGCATCCGATTTCATCTCCATCTGAGATGTGAAAAGATTGATCAAAGATCAACGAGGGCGGCAATGTTGGAGCAAACAAAGCATGTTTTAAATGGCAAGATAATTTGTTCACATGATAATTTGTTCACATGTAAACTCAATTAAAAACGCATGTTAATTTTCCCATAATTTATTGATTTCATTTACCCGCAATTTATAGTAACTAAATCATCATTTATTCAATTTTTATACGATACAGTCGCTTTCCAGCTATCGCCAAGTATTCAGATCCGGTGAACAAAGTTATTTACGGGAAACAAGTCTAGTACCATATTGCAATAATCTTGCTTTTCGCAAGGGTAAAGAAAAGTTGTTAACGGGAAAAAAGTCTAGTTCCCGATTACAAGACACTTGCTCTCGCAAGTGTATTAAGTACAGCCAAGAGACAGTTGAAAAGTGTCAGTACACAAGAAACAAAAAAGTAAACATTTTTGACCATCAAATTTCAATTACGTAAGCGTAAAGTAAGAAAAGAGAAACAAAGCACTAACCATGTTGTTCGTCAAATTTTTCTTTAATCTCGGCCAATACTTTTTCATAGTGAATAAGGGCATTTTTGATATCCTCCTGCGTTTTCAAAAACCTATCGATAGCCTGTGATTCTTTGAAGGCTTTAGAACTGACTCTATAAGCTACAGCTTCGTTATACGCTGGTTTCAATTGGTTTGCAATTGCGAGCAACAACACGTAGTTTTTACTGTAGCAGTCAAAATTTTCTTTCATTTCGAAATGCATTTCAATTAAAAACTCAATATGCTCCAAATCTGGGTCAGCCATCTCTTTCTGGATAAATTTCTTAAATTTTTCAATATAACCGTTACACGACTGCTCCAGAGCATAGTTGCACACTCGCTTCACACTCAAGGCGACGCCGTTCAGCTGTTTGATTGGAGTTGATTTCTGACTGGAATGAAACGCATTCTGAAGAGGTTTAAACGATTTTTCGAAATCAGAAGACAGCAGTTGGAATCCAAGTTTTACACATGCGTCCATGAAGGATAAGATTTTCTTGTGCTTGTCACATGCTGAAAACAAGAAATCTATTTTCGAAAGTATTTTCGCCTAAAATTTCATTATGATTTCCGGTTTAGCAAAAAAAACACCTGCAACTAAAATCCATTTTGATCGACATATGATCACTCGGACCAAGATTAAAGAGTACCTACTACAATGTCCGCATTCTGTTTCAAAATTATCATCATCGTCGTGACAAAATGACGGAATCCGCATAACTCGCGTTGCTTTGCGCTCTTGTCTGAGTTTATCGAGTACTTTTGCTGACACGCGACCTTCAGTAATTTTTGAATAGATACTGAACTCATCATCCACGTCGTAGTCCTCGTCATCATCTTCGTCATCGTAAAGATCATCATCACTTTCTTCGTAATCATCATCACTAGAATTTGCCGAATTGCTCATTGCAGCGAAAACTGCGGACGGGTCTTCTCCGGGTTTAATTTCTCGAATGGCTGCCATTATTTGTATATTTGAATATTCAGTTAACAGAACCTGAAAATTTCTGTTATTTATACAGCAGAACTAAAAGCTTGAGCGATCATTGACAATAATTTTACAATCAAAGACTATGTACTATTATAGTATTTAGGGTTGTTTATCCCATGGGTTTGCACCCAAAATATAGTTCAATGAGGTCTGAGATTTCCGTTTGGGTTACAGTTTCCACATTGACACATTACTTGCCATGTGCAGCTGTCTATTTCTGAATAGTTTGCGAAAAACTTCGAATAAATTTCTGCTTTGTCAGATTTTCTTATCTCCGATAACTGTTTTATTGCATTTCAATTGTCAGAAGTTATTCGGTAATTAGCACGGCTTTGATTGAGATTACCTTTCTTCAGTCTAGCACGTGACTGACTCCCTTTTGCACAGCCGTTCAAGAACAGGAAAAACGTGAAGAAACGCACGTTTTCAGGCGCTAGTTAAGCTGAATTTTCAATAAAGAATGTAAAATTCGCCCAGACATTCATTACACAGTAACGGAGCATAGAAACATTACCAATTGACGACTGCCTGACGTCAGTTACCTTAATTCTACTCGTTTTAAACCTTCTTGACTTAGCCAATTGTTTTTCTGGTCTGTTTGGGGCTAAGTAATAAATTACCATTTTTAGGCCATCAGCCATACGGACTTTTGATCAGCTTTTACATGCGAAAATAACCACATAGCTTGGTCTCGGATCCCCAGACAACGTGATGTAACATTCGCCCGGAAGTACATATCGACGGAAAATAAAGTTAAGTTCTAGCGTCTAAACACAGCTTCATATGCTTTTAACCGTCTCTACCATGGTCAGTTCTATGAGTGGTCCTTTAACATCGTGTCGACAAAACCATTACTGTTTTTGAGCTATCGGCCAGAACACGCAGATTAACTTAGTTACATGCAAAATAGTGAGCTTTTGTAGCAGTAGTAGGATGGCTTCTGTGTTTCCACATGGGGTCCTGGCCCCTTCATTGTATCGTCATATGTACGTCTTGCTGCGGCAGTTGTTCGCCGCACAATCTCACCCAATTTTCCACGTGCACTTGTCTCCAAATTCTCCAAATTTCAACCTGAATTTCCTCAGTTGTAGCTGTTTGAGGCCACAATAAACCCTCACGTCATGTATTGACCAGTCTCCAAGTTTGATAGAAGAAATTTTGTTCAGCTTTCAGGAGTTTAGGCCGTTTCAGCTGAAATATTACACCGCGAGGACAATTCGGCAGGACTAATGGTATGTGCACATTTTCATGCATATCGTCGTATCTTCCCAATCCGATTTTTAAAAGCAGCAAAATATTTTTTTATCTATATATACTTAGGAAGCGGTAAAAATTGCAATTGAGCAATTTTTTCTTTGTATGCCAATGTTCCAGGAAAAATCCACTTGACGACTCTTTTTTGAATAGTCTCAAGTTCATTTGTGGCATATTTGCTTAATCCATAGCAGAGACTGGCGTATGTTAAAACTGGGACTAACATAGATTTATAAAGGTTCAATTTTGCAGTACGACTCAGATTGTTTGTCTTCCGTTTTATCATGAAAAATACATCGTTTGTTTTGTTGCATGCATTGTCTATGTGGATATTCCAGTTTAAATCACTTGATATTGTCAAGCTGGGGTCTTTTTGTACGTCTATTTTTTTATCTTGAATCCGTTGAAGTAAAAATCATTTCCAATTTTTCCTAATTTTAGATACGTACATTTGTCTAAATTGAAGGGCATTTTATAGTCGATGGTCCAATTAAAAATATTATTGAGGTCACTTAGGATTTGCTCTTGTGCCTGACTAGAATTGATGAATTTAGCATAGTCTGCAAATAACATAGTTTTAAGATTTACACAGTAAACTGGTAGGTCGTTAATAAAGACCAGAAAAAAAACAGAGGACCCAATATGCTACCCTGTGGCACTCCACTGGTAACTTTTTACCTCGAAGACTCTTTGCCATTTCTTCGAACAATCTGGCGCCTATTAGTGAGGTAAGACTTGATCAGTTTTAAAAGTTTATCCCTGACTCCTGTTGAAAACAATTTGCCTAACAAAATTGTTAGCCAAACTCTGTCGAAAGCTTTGCTAAAGTCTGTTAAATTATTTTCAATTTATTCTCCATTTTCGATTCCTTTTTTATGTTTCATTTAGAAAGGCCAGGAAATGTTGAAGTGTTGACCGGTATCTTCGAAATCCGAATTGAGGTTTGTTAAAATCTTATTGTTATGATCATATAGTCGAATTGTAACATTCGCCCGGAAGATACATATCGACGGAAAATAAAACTAAGTCCTAAGACGACTGGCAACGTCTAAACACAGCTTTACATACTTTTCACCTTCTCTACCAAGCCAGTACTTTCGGTGGTCTTTCCAACATCGGGTCGACAAAAACGTTACTGCTTTCGGCTTCGGTCAAAACACTCAAATTAACTTAATTACATGCAGAAAAAGTGAGCTCATGGCTGGGTCTCAGTATCCCCAGACCACGAGGTCACTCCTAAAATCAGGGCTACTACTACTTATTGAATTATTATTGTTTTTGTTCAGTAGATAAAAATCATCATCTCCATCGAAGATGGATCAACCCTTTTCCCCAACTCCTAGCTTCTCATCTCAATAGAATGAATTCAGATGTTAATTAAATTCAAATCAGGACATGAGAGGGAAGCTAAAAGTTTATATAAGTCGATAAAATTTTCAGTCCCGAGACCCCTCCGGATTCTTGAATCCGGGGAAATAAGGCTCTTATCTTCTTTCCGGAAGGCTGGTTTTCCACCCTTCACCGTTGTTCGCAACGGCCTTTCAACTATTGTAGCGACACAATAGTTGCAACTCGGAACGGTCTCTGCTATTCCTGCAATCTGTTGTCGTTTTTTTATCACAATCTTTGTCGTTATCGTCAGCGCAACTAATGTTGTTGTGTTTTTCTTTGACTTTTTGCCAAAATGGCCGTTTCTGACGTTTCTCAGAAAAAAGACGTCATAATTCGAATTTTTAAAATTTCAAAATACCAGACTATTCTAGCCCTCACCGTTTGGCCAATTGTTCCAATAACGCACTTATTCCTTCAAAATCGCCAATTCGGAAGGTTCACTGCTAAAACTTCGAATATGCCGAATCTGCATTTTGATCCATTCTGATCGAATGTCACATACTCCCCAGACAGTCCGGTCAATGTCCTCATTCAATCTCGCAATGTTCCTAGAATTGATACAGTGTCATCAAACAGCATTTACAAAATGCACGAAATTACTTTTATCCACGTCATATCGACTCACTGCAGAATATAAATGGCATCATACTACATCACTATACCCTTCAAATTCTTTCATTAATCGGCACATTGAGGATATGACCTAAGATAAAAACATATTTTCCGACTTCCAATGTCAATGTCCTGATTAAAAACTTTTTCTCCTAGATTTAAAAGGTGTTGGTTTGCAGGACAGTCCTGCCAACCAACAAGCTAAAATTATCCTACTATGCTTCCTCCCTTCGGAAATCTTTTTGTCCTGAATATTAAAACTAAGAAACTCTGTGGTTAGAAAGAACATGAAACAATCTCCCTCTTCGAGAGATTACCCAAGCCTTTCATGTCACCACAAAGTGATCAGTTCTCCTAGCTGATTAAAAACAGTCATGCAGGCTGGAATATTTAAATATACTCCTTCACTCAAGCCTTTCTAAATAAGTAGTAAGTAAGTGTCTCTAAAGCCACTTAACTAAAATCAAAATGCAAATTTATAAAAGCAACAACTTCAAAACTCAACTAAATGTTTCAGTTTTCAATTACAACTTGGTTGCTTGGTTTCTCACTTGAGTTGTTTCACACACATAAAACAATTCTGAGTTTTAACTTTTTCTTCATCACTCCTTTGTTTTCCTCTTTTTTTCGTCGTTTAGAAGTTCTAAAACTTCTAAACTCTTCTAATTTCGTCTCTTTTTGCATCTCGTTTTTCGGCCATTCGTCAATGTTCCATCTCCTCCTCCTGTGAAAATGACTCTGCACTTTCAGTTTCTGTGTCTTGCAACACGTCGTTAGCTATCCTGAGGCTGTTGGAAGCCGTCCTCCAACACTTCTGCTCTTCTACCTTCTGTTTGCAACAAGGTAGGGGATCCACGTTAGATTCTCTGTTCCTGCAGAAGCTGTTGTGGAGACACAACGTCACATTTCTCTCCAAATCTTCCGTTAACATCTCTGCCTTCTCCTTTCCACTACGTTCACTTGTCCTGGAAATTTTTTTCATAGCGGTGGTCACTCCATTCCGATGAGTCACGAGAGCTCGCTTGAAAGCTCCTGCTCCGATATCCAGCTGATATTCAATGTACACTCTGCCGTGCTTCGACATATGCTTTTTAGCATATTCGTACAATTATGCAGTCATGTTAGCTCTGAACCATGGCATCAATCGTTTTCTTGCCCATATCTTCTTCACTTCTATCGGAATGTTTAGATTTTTGCACATTGTCTCAAAAAGATCTAAATCTTTTAGACAATCTAATTTCCGCAACTGTTCTCTCGTCGGTGCCTCCTGTCTACTGTTTTATTTCACATGAGCTTCCAGCCATCGTATCGCTATCATAACTCCCACTATCACTATTGTTACGGGCTGTGATGAGTCTGGTAAACCCATGGAGAGCAGCTCTCAAGAGTCCCAGATCAACACCAGATTACTACGCTTGGGATACCACCAGGTCTGCAGCAAGCAGTGGCAGGGAAACTCGTCATGTGTCAACATGATGCTCCTCCAATTACGTTTTCCCGAAGCTTCCAGTAATGGTTCCACTTCCATCATCACTCGGTGGACTTCATCATTCTCGTCTACTGTATTGTAATCTGTAACAGTTGATCCTCTCTGTTTCTGTCTCTCAAAGTCACTGAAGTTCCCACTCACAATCCCATGAACTTCTTTCCTAGTATCGATTCCAACTCTTCCTTGGTTCTCTCTGGAACTGCTGAGAACATCTTACAAAGCAACTCGTAAGATTTCTCGGACATTCTCGCCAGTCTCA